AGTCTGACTCGCCATTTCTTAAGTAAATTCTAAGTTGTTCTTATACAGCATTTACACCTTATACACCGGTAATAACACAAACGCAGAGTACAAGCCGACGAGAAACTTTCATTATATAGACAGTAGGTGACTATATAACACGGGTGACTGTCCTTAAACTTTGCCATATATTATAAAGTTCAAAAGTTATCTGTACTGTCACAATTTAACTGCAGACTTCCAGACGCCGGATAAAATTTTCAACGCTAGAAAATTCTGAGTAATGTTTATTTATTATTTACCGCAACAGATAAATTACCCTACAAGAACGTCAAGTTAAGGGCAACCTTACCTGTTCTTCTCTGAGGGTGTTGTTGTGGAGATCATCCAATGTCGGTCTAACTCCAGATCCGTCAACAATGGAATTGAGGTTTCTGTAATGGGACTCCTTTGGTAAGGCTTCTCGGGTCAGGTAATGCCGAAGTGACTTTTGATACCTGGTCTCATACACACTGTTGGAGTGCGTGGTAGGAAACAAATGACCGTCATCACCGGCGTCCAGGTCTGCGCCCACCTGGATGTGTGATGAAGAGTCCAACTCAATGGTGTCATCCCCCTTCGAGCTCATGATGCCGACTGACTGCAGACGACGCGTGGTCCCGCTATATATAACAGGGTTGCCAGATGTACGACAAGCTTCACGTCAACTTCACGCCATCTCACGGCCAAATCGACCAAAATTCGGCCAAAACTTTTTGGATGGGAAGCACAAAGCTATTTTTGCAATCCACACAAAATAAAAGTATCCCCTACAATATCCACTTAAAATGTCGTAATAAAACCAAATTTTCACTTAGAATTGAGAGCCCAATAATTATATAAACATATCTATAATCTACAGTGAAGATTTACCTTAATCTGAAATGGTGGTGGAGCATGATAATGGTGGAGAACTTGATAACACTAGTTGGCGTAAGCAAAAACGTTTAGTTCGTCATCGTCCCCTGGTTTGTTATATTTTCTACCACTGTCGTTGGACCCTTTCCATTTACTGGTGGACATTTTGAAAACTAGCACTCGGAATTTCAGAAAGTAACTCAGATGGCTTTGTAAGCTCTGAAGCTTAACCCATATGCTGGACACGTTCAGCCTGAACAACTCAAATATGAGAACTAACAACTAAGGTAGTAACGAGAAAGATCAGTCAGCCCAGTAGGTCACGTAAGCATGTGAAGAGGCGAGGTCACTGATTAGGTGAGGTTGTGGGGTATGGGATGTTTAGTTCACACTCAGGATGGGACGGAGAAAGGAAACTCACAATGTGCTCTCTGTGTACATGTTGTATTGGATGTACAATGCAGCTTGGTGCTGGGAAGGCAGCATGGTTACAAGAGTGATGTAGAGAGAGCTGGTTGGTGAGGGTGTTCAGAGGAGGACAGCTTGTGGGTCGCCATGCTCGCCGGCGGGAGCTAGGACTGCCAGGCAGGCGGAGGAGGAGGAGGTGTTGCTGGCTGGTTGGTGTAGGTAGAAAGAGAGATCTTCACGAGGTCAGGTCTTAAATAGCGGGGGGTAGGCGTGGCTTAGTAGTTGACCTCCGTGATGTATGGCGGCGCTGGTTGACCCAGACCACGAGGCATACACTGGGGAATTTGCGGGGTCGGCTACGCAGCGACAAACAGCGTTTGTAGGGGAGAAATCCACTACAATACTCTCTCCTTCCCTCCAGGCGGTGTAGGAGACTCGTTGTCTGCAGGGTTGCATGGCACATGTGAGGCAGAACGGGCGGTGCATGCCTCATGTGAAACATAACGGCGATGGCGTGGATGAGCCGGCCGCTAGTGGAGGCAACTGTCTAGACACACAAGATCTGTGGGAGAAGAGAGGGAGAAAGAGGGTTGTGGAGGCGATGAATGTTGTGCTTCCCTCACGGCAGGTACAGAGTCGTCAGATGCGCCTGCTGGGGTGTGTGGGCCTGGGTCAGGAGCAGGGGCTGCGTCAGCAGAAGCGGATGAGGGCTCGTGACAGCAGCTGGGTCCACGACAGCAGCAGGGTGCAGGACAGTAGCACGGAGTACCTGAGGGAAAAAAGAGGGGTGTGTGGGTCCGCACTCAGGCGCATGGGCCGCGTCGGGAGCAGGGGCTGCATCAGGAGAAGCAGCAGAGGGTACTGCTGGGCCGGGGGCGGCATCTGAGGCAGGACGGGTGTGTTGGTCTGCACTTAGGCGCATGGGCCGCGTCGGGAGCAGGGGCTGCATCAGGAGAAGCGGCAGGAGGTACTGCTGGGCCGGGGGCGGCGTCTGAGGCAGGACAGGTGTGCTGGCGTCGGTAGGACGTGGTGCTTGGGGCAGGAAGAGGAGCTGGTGTCTGCTTAGAGAAGCAGTGCTGCTCTAGGGTGTCTAACCTGCAGTTTAGAGACAGTAGCTGTAGAGCCGATGAGAGCTGCTTCTGGGTGGATCAGCCAGTCTTCCATGTTGCTTGAAGACTGGGAGAGTGATCGGTTTCTCCTCCATTCTGTGTGAGTGCGAATCTCCGGGGGTCACCATTTGTGGGGTATGGGATGTTTGGTGTTCACTCAGGATGGGATGGAGAAAGGAAACTCACAATGTACTCTCTGTATACATGTTGTATTGGATGTATAATGCAGCTTGGTGCTGGGAAGGCAGCATGGTTACAAGCGTTGAGTAGAGAGAGCTGGTTGGTGAGGATGCTCAGAGGAGGACAGCTTGTGGGTTGCCATGCTCGCCAGCGGGAGCGAGGGCCGCCAGGCAACGGCGGAGGAGGTGGTGTTGCTTGCTGCGGCTGTAGCTAGAAGAAGAGGGAGGGCACCACGAGGTCAGGTCTTAAATAGCGGGGGGTAGGCGTGGCTTAGTCGTTGACCTCCATGATGTATGGCGGCGCTGGTTGACCCAGACCACGAGGCATACACTGGGGAATTCGCAGGGTCGGCTACACAGCGCCAAACAGCGTTTGTAGGGGAGAAATCCACTACAAGGTCATGACAAGGTGAGGTCACTGAGCCAGCATGTTCATTGTGAAATTTTAAAATCTGCTAAACTTTTCTTCAAAATCCACTAGATGAGGAATTAATACGTTTTACAAAATTCGGCCAAATAGTTTGGCCGTAACCATCCATTTTTTCACGGCTAGGCAAAGTTTTTTACGGCTCATCATTGAGTGACTCTTTGACGTCTTCAGGATAAGCTTCCACCAAATTGATTGTTGCTTTGCTTATATCAGCACTTGGAAGATAGCTAAATCTGATAAAAAACAAACTTCTTATACAGCTATTCATAAGCCTGTGACCTCATTTGAAAAGCACTAACAAGGTTGTCCACAATGAGGAAGAACTGTTGCCTGAATTTCTCCCTCGGTAATCTGGGATTACTTTCTGATGTTCCATCTGCAAATCTTTGTTGCCTCAGCTTTCCAAAATATACTCTGCATTCTCTTTCACTACACATTGTCTTTCCTCTTGCTTCATACTCTTCTAACTTGAATCTCTGCTCTTGAACAAAATGCTTGAGGGATTTGTAGAACTTCACAGTGGTGCTTAGAGTTACACCCTCTTTCTGCAAACTAATGTTAGCTACTTTTACTTTTATCCTCTTCACTGATAAGCTGGCTAGCTGCTTGGGCAATCTGTCATGCACTGTTGGCAAGTACTGGTTCCTGAATGTATCTGAACCTGCTCCAGTGTTGGTCAAGTCTGGTCTTGAAAGAGCTCACACTCAGTGCCGTCACAACACTCTCTGGCAGATTGTTCCAAGAGTTCACAACTCTCACTCCGAAATATTTACCCCTCAGTTTTCTGGACGTGCGGCTTCTAAAACCTTGAGCTGTGACCTTGTGGGGCGAGCGTCCGCCAGCTCAAGGTAAGGGCACTCGACCGAGTAGTGCCCTTTGAGATGTTTATACACCTCAATTAGGTCCCGCTTGCCCGTCTGTAGTATAAGCTAGACAATTGCAGGCGCTCTAATCTCTCAGGGTAGCTGAGGTGCCAAAGTGCTGGCACCAATAAAAAGTAAATAAAAGTTAAGTAACAAAACTTGATAATTAATCAGTGAGCTACAGTACACAATCATAGCCATGTGTGATTCCATGGAACAAAGCTTGGTACTTTAGTGCACCGGGTGGTGGTGAGCAGGTGTTCATGGCGATTGTTTACATTGTAAATAGGGGGATGGTTTTAATATACATTAAAGCATAATATTGTAGATAGGGAGATCATAAATCGGGGAATATATACCCTCACTTTTGCATGTATATTTCTACCGTCTTATTAGACTTTTTTCACCATGGTAGGAAGTAATGCAACTGTTACCTAGTTCAAGATAAGGCCAGGCCAAGGTGCAAATATTACAAGGGAAATTACAATGGGATGAGGGAAGAGATGAGGGGTATCAACTGGCCTGA